TGGAAAGCAGATCAGAAGTCATGTGAGATAGTAGAGGAGGGGCTGGATGCCTATGAAGAGGCACAAGGAACTGTTCACAATGATGGACTGATTGAGGTGATGGTTGAGAGTATATACATTTGTGAAAACTCTTCAAACTGTACACTTAAAGGCATGTGTATAAAGTTGATTTAAAGAAATAAATTTAAAAAGATGAAGGATCCAGTCTGAGCTCTACCACTAACTAGCTTTGTGTGTTTTTGTAAAAGCGGGCTTAATCTTCTCTATGTTTTGTTTCCTATCAGGAAAATGGGGACGGTGGGTAGTTCCTCTATATTGTTTGGTTATTATGAAAATATAAATGAAATAATTTATCTTGAAATGACTTTTTTAACAAGTTTATTTATTTTGAGAGAGGGGGAGGGACAAATAGAGGAAGGGTCAGAGAGAGAGAATCCCAAGCAGGTTCCACACTATCAGTGCAGAGCCTGATGCGGGGCTCAAACCTATGAACCATGAGATCATGACCTGAGCCAAAATGCCAAAATCAAGAGTTGGACGCTTAACCAATTGAGCCACCCAGGTGCCCCTATTTTGAAATGCTTTTGAAAAGTATAAAGTCAAATACAAATCCTGGGTAGAGGCAAATTCCAAAAACTCTTCAGGGAAGAGGGACAAGAACTGTGACAAACAGTGTATGATCTCATATGTGTTTATATTTTTTCACTTTGTGTACCACTGGCTGTGGCACTTCAACCCCTGGCCACCAGTAAGATGAGGGGTTAGACTAGATCAGAGGGAAGAAACTGTAGGCTTAGAGACTCAACCTTTCAGATGTGTTTCCTTTAGCCTCTGCAGTGTCAGCCTGTCTGGTGTTAATGTAAAATGTGATTGTTGACAGTGTTTACATCTGGATATTTCACATAAAAATTTGGGTTTCCAGCTTATCTTTAGATACTAGCACATTTGAAAAAGCTGGGTCTGTATTCCCATGGCACTCATTATCTGGAATTGGTAAATGGCTATTCCTTTACGTGTACCATTCATTGCTTTATTTCCTGTGGTCTCCCCTGCTCTCTGTAACCTTGTCTGTTCTCTGTAGTAACAATAAGAGGAAAGGGAGTTAATTTTTGAGTGTGCCCACTAAGTGTTAGGCACTATTCTAGGGTATAAGAGTACAGAGGGGAACCAAAGAGACAAAGTCTGTACTTCCATAGTGAGTGTTAAGTACCCATCCACATCATTAAAAATTAGGGGGATAAAGTTAGACCCAAGAGTGTAATACATTTGAGGGAAAGTGGGAGAAAGTATGTTTCTTTGTGGAAATAAAGTATTCCCACATATTTAAGAGGCTAAAGTGTGTCTGTGTCAAAATTATCATGGCTACCTATTTTAACTTGCTTACTTCACATAATGGAATGAATCCTTTTTCCCTTTGTGATTCAGTAAATCCATGAATTTCCCCCCAAAATGGATTCCAGTGAAATTGTAGGGAATATCTTAGCTTTTCAAAAAAATTTTTTAGTGTTTTTATTTATTTTGGAGAGAGAGAGAGACAGATGCGAATGGGGGAGGGGCAGAGAAAGAAAGGGAGACACAGAATCCAAAGCAGGCTCCAGGCTCTGAACTGTCAGCACAGAGCCCGACGTGAGGCTAGAACTCATGAACCATTGAGATCATGACCTGAGCCAAAGTTGGATGCTTAACCGACTGAGCCACCCAGGTGCCCCTATCTTAGTTTTTCAAACAAAAAAGCCCATGCAAGTAGGCAGAGAGACTGGCCCAAGTTCCAGTGGGCAGACTGGCACAGGCTCTACTGAATATTAGCTTTTCTACCTCTGTCCAAACTATGCATAGCTCAGCTTTAGATTTTTGCATTTAATCAAGATCTTGGGATGCAGCCGAGTCTGAAATAAGCATCTCTATTGACAGTCTTAGAGTTGCCTTCTTCTGTAACAGCCTGAGCTCTGTTTAGGTGTGACAGAGAATCTTCGTACCCTGATCTGTCTGATGGACATGGGCTTGTGCCAGAGAAGTATCTCCAGTGATGCTCTCTGCCCTCTTCTTTCTAACTGAGTAATTTACATTTCCAGTTGGTCAATTACACATCGATAGTGACCAATATCTTTAAACTGACAAATCCTATCGGCCTTTGAATTTGATCTCAAGATCAAGGACCTCTGACTTAAATGCTTCTCACCTGCACATAAGCCCTTTTATGGGCATCGGCGCTAAACGGTGTGGTTCCATTGCCTAGCCTTTAGATCTGTGATGGTCATAGGCTTTGAGAATCTCAGCTGGTCCTTCTCAACCCACTCTGCTTGCCTGGATTGTGTGGTAGGCATCTGACCCACTTCTTGAGTGCAGGCCGGAAAGGTCATCTTGCTACCTGGGGGAGAAAACTGCACTGCTCCCATCTGCTGGCAGTTATCTCAGATCTCTGTATCATCAGCCTGCTGAAAGGGCTGCCCTGTCCTTTAGTGGTTCTGTGCGTTACAGAACTGTAGGAAATAGTCATTCCCAATTTGTGTTCTGCAGCCCTATCATATGTCTCCTTATTATCTAAATGGGGTGTGACACAGGTTTTCTCTAAGGTAAGTAAAGTGGGAAGAACATATTGTGGACAGCCAGCAGAGTGACAGCATTCCAGGTTCTACATAATTAGCTATGAGATTCCTAAGCCTCACTCCTTTCCTCTACTCATAAAGCACAATGCTTGGATTTAATGCTCTATAGGAGGATACTGGTACAAAGTCTGTAGTTCTGTGATTCTTTAAAAAAATCAAATACCTATAAAATGAATACTCACTCAAACTTTACAAAATAATTATGAATACACATAGAAAGTTTATAATTTATATTAACATTTCTAATTCTGATTAATAATAAGACACATCATGAATGTGGGGAAAAGAAGATTAAATACTACTGCATTAAATGTACATACTTACTACAAGAAAAATTCTGATATCCTAAGAATTAAAATGTAAAAAACGTGCATCTTAACATTGAGACTGTGTGTGTGTGTGTGTGTGTGTGTGTTACAATACCTCTGCTAGTCAATACGTGGAAAGGTTTTAAACAGATTTTTTTTTTAAATGTTTTATTTCTAGGAGAGAGAGAGAGAGACAGCGTGAGCAGGGGAGGGTCAGAGAGAGAGGGAGTCACAGACTGAAAAAGGCTCCAGGCTCAGAGCTGGCAGTCAGCACAGAGCCCGAAGCGGGGCACGAACCCACGAACCGCGAGATCATGACCTAAGCGAAAGTCGGACGCTTAACCAACTAAGCCATCCAGGCGCGCCTTAAACAGATTTTTAAAGTAAATTTCTAGAATTAAAATTGACAGTTGAACAGTGTAAGTAGACTTTAAAGAATTATAAGAAAATGGAAAACGTTACCGAGATACAAAGATTCAAGATGACAGTGGAAAAAAAGACTTCATGGCAAATTTTAGTGTTTATCTGAATACTGAAGAAGGACAGTGTGACAGGAGATACACAAACATGCAGTCTCTGGTAAATCATTATCAAAATGCACACTTGGAACATTTGAGTCCATTAACTTTTTTTCTGAACACAGAATTCTGTGTGTATTGTATGAAAACATACAATAGTACTTTATGATTAAGGTTCTCTTTGGTTACAAGGAGCAGAAAACCTACCCAAGCAGACTTCACAAGGAGTAAACTTTGTGAAGATACACCAGGAAATGCTATAGACATCAGCAGACAGTTGCTGCAGTGCCCCTGGGCCTCAGACGTTGTAGAAAGATTAAACAGGACTGAAGTCTCTGTCTTGGGCCTGAGGTCTCTAGAATCAATACTTTTTCTATCAATTTTGCATGTGGCTGCTAGCCTCAGCACTATGCCACAGCCTCAGCTCAATTTCCCTCAGTAGGGACTTCCCTGTGTGTTCGTCTTTATCCAATTAGTCATAACCTGTATGCAAATAATAGCCTAGCAAAAAAAAAAAAAAAAAAATTTTTTTTTCACAGAATAGTTCAAGCTAAATTATGATGGTATATGAGCAGGTAGATGGACTAAGTACCCAGCATAACTGCTGCTTATCTCAAAGCATTCAGCTTTGACAGCTTTGCTGCACCTTCTCTATCTATAACCCCTGTTAACAATGGCACTGAACACCTCATACAGGGTTTGGGGAATGAGATCGAAATAAGGGGTTCTAAGAATTTGTGGAACGCTCAAGTATAACCAATCCAGAGCATTTAAGAATTTCTCTTAGAGGTACATGACATTTTTTAATGAATTTTGGACTGTCATTAAGAGAAAGGTTACTGTGGACATTAAAACATCTGCCCAGTAACTGAGTTATATTTTCCTGGTGTCTGTTGTGTTGAGGAACCTTTCATACCTATATTTTGTGTCTTCTCAACAGCCCATAAAGTAGGAAAGGCAGGAAGAATCCTCAAGGTCGATTGTTAGATCTGAAGAGGGATGAGAAGGAAGGAAGAAAAACTTCTTGAAATTGACAACTGTTATTATAACAGTTATTAAAATAACTTCCAGGCCTCTCAGGTTAAGTGCTGGACTTTTTTTTTTTTTTTTTTTAATTTTTGGTTGAATCTAATCTCTTGGAGCCTCTGTTTTCTCTAGCTAGTAATTGTCTTCAAGGGAAAAATAATACCCAGCTACATACAATTGTACTAAGAATTAAATAAGAGCTCAAAGTGCTTAGGACAGTGATTAGAATGTAGTTCTTTTTTCTTTCATCTGTTTGTTCATCTGTTTGTTTGTAGGTACTTTGGAAGATAATTACTGTTCTTCGTTCTTCCTGATATAGGTGTTCAGGAACAATTTTTCTGACTCTTGCCACCTAAACCCATAGTAATATCTCTGAGTCCCTCGAATTTAAGAGTGCCTTCTAGCCCAGGCCAGCCCTAGGTCTAGCTGATGATAATGTCAGTACCATTAACAGTGACAGCAGGAAGCTACAGCCACCATGGTTATCTGACTGGCTTTTTGAACATCACTCAAAAGAGCTTGTGTATGTGTTTCCTTCACAGGTGGATTTGCTATCGTGTTTCTGGTGAGGACAAGCAATGGAATGAAATGTGCCTTGAAACGCATGTTTGTCAACAATGAGCATGATCTCCAGGTGTGCAAGAGAGAAATTCAGATAATGGTAAGACTGCCCCTCAGACTTGGAACTTCTTGTTTAATTGTGCCCTCTGATAAGAAAGGGTGAGGGAGGGGCGTGGGGGGGGAGGGGGCTTCTTCCCTTCCCTGAGATGGCACAGGAGCCTCACACAAGACGAGAATGAAGAGTCATGGGGTGTAGCATGCTTCTCCCATCTTGGTCACCCTTAGCTAGAGTGTTGAGGAGAAAGGAGCATATTGAGAGAACTGACCAGTTTTTTAGGTCAAGGAAAGAAGTTAGGGCACTGGGAAACGTTTCTTTCATAACTTCATTCCCAGAATTAAACATGGAGTTTAAACCAGAAACCCTAGTTCTCCAATGAGCCTCCTCTTCTAGTCTTGTCTTCTGTCAGTTCCCAACCTGGTTTTCATCCCTCTTGAGCTTTCAGCATTCCTTGAATGTATCCTTTGACACATTTATATTTTATACTTGTAATTCTTTCCTCCTGGAATGGTTTTCTCCTGTTTTGCACTAGAAACCTCTTACTCACACATACTCTATGATCCCATATATAAAAGTCCAAGAACAGGCAAAAGTGATCTATGGTAACAGAGATTAGAAAGTGGTAATCTGAGTGTGGGAAATTGACTTTCTAGAAAGGGGCATGTGGGAACTTTCTGGGTCATGGGTAGTGGTTACACAGGGCCATAAGAGTGTCAGAACTCAGCTGAACACCTTAAGATCTGTGCATTTTATTATATGTTAATTATACCTCACGTCTTAAAAACTTCATTTTCACAATTCATATTATGTTTAAAGAAGGTGCATTTCTGTTAGAGATATATGCTGAAATACTTATGGATGAAATAAGATGATGTCTTGAAGTCAATGAGTTGATATAGAAGAGAAACAAAATTGGCAAAGAGTTACTGATCCGAGTAGAGCACTGGGTATGTGGGAGTTAGTTTCTCACTTTCATTTCTGTTTGATATTATATATAAAACATTTAAATAGTCTTATTTCTTTTTGCTTCCACGGTACTTTTGTCTTTACCAAAATAAAATTTTACCAAAATAAAATTTTGTTTACATTGCTTATACATAATCTTATAAGTAATTTTGCCGTCAGAAAGTAACTTATTTTAAATCAGGAGCTTTACATTCCAGCAGACTGAGTGACATATATATAGTTAATTCTTGAATAACAGGAGGCTGGGGTGCTGACCCCTGAATTGTTGAAAATCTGCACATTACTTTTGATCACTGGAAACTTAACAACTAATAGCCTGCTGTTGACTGCAAGTCTTATGATAACATAAACAGTCAATTAACTCATAATTTGTATGTTATATGTATTATATACTGTATTCTTACAATAAAGTAAGCTAGAGAAAATAAAATGTTATTAAGGAAATCATAAGGACAATACATTTACACACTTTATTGTATTTAAAGGGGGGAAAAATCCATGTCTGAATTTACACAGTCTGAACACATGTTGTTCAAGTGTTAGCTGTGGATGAAATGAATGTATGAATAATGGTAATACCAGATGCATATATTTACCTAGAGGTGATGATTCCTTTATGCCCTGGATTTTAATGCTTTTATAAAGAGAAAGAGGTTCAAAAAATGGGTGAAGGTGGCATCGTAGGAATTCCACCGGGCTTTGCTTGTCCTGTCCATCCCTTCTGGGGTTACCCTTTAATGGCTGAGAAGAAACCATTTTGCTGATAGAGATAAGTGTTGCTGTCATCATTGCGAAGCAAAAAATCCCAAGGCCCAAGTTCGTACTCAGGGCCACATGGATCTGTCCACAAGACACCATTGTGCCCCCACCCTGCTGCCCCGTGACTCCAAACGACCAGCCTCAGTGCATCTCCCTGCAGCAGCCCTGGGTTTTCTGGCTGCTTCTCTTTGCCCCTCCTCCCCCTTGTCCCTGCCTTGCTAAACTCTCACATACTCCGTTTCCTGTCTTTGCTTCTGCTATTTCCTCTGCCTGGAGTGCCCTTCTCATTCATTTTCTAGTGTTATGAAAGTAATCCCATTCTTCAACTTTCTCCCACTCATTCAGAAACATGTTTGAGAGCTGGCTTTGTGCTAGGCAGGCATTGGAATAGAGGAACTAAGAAGACACAGACCCCTTACCAGCTCACAAATATGTGAGTTCAAAATCTGGCTCAGCTATATATTAGTTGTGAAAGAGTCTGTTTTGTCTTGTTTCTAGTTTATTTTTTTTTCAAAACTTAAATACTCAAATAGGTGAACTAAGCTTGTTACTATAAACTTCGAGCAATTCCTCTGCCATTTCAAGGTTCCAGAGGCAACCACTTTTTGTTGATTTATTTGATAATTTTCTGAATAACATGCTGATATTGCTAGTTCCTGATTTTTTCCCTCCCTTTTAAGTATTATATAGTATAGAAAGTAAATATTTAGCTCTTTCATCCCCTGTACACCCTTCTCCCCAAATACCTTGCAGTCCTTCTCATTTCCCGTTCTGCTACAACAGCAGTTAAGTTTTGGCAGTAGGTTAGTTACAGTAGTATGAGTTTTTACATGTAAGGAAACACTATTCTTGCAGAATCCTCTCTTGGACCAGGATTGCTATTCCTTTTCTGTATAACTCTGCTTTCACTAGAATTAATGATCTTTTCCAATTTTTTTTTGTCTGTCTTTGTGTAGTTTAGCAGTTTAACCCCAAACTCTCTCTGGGTTGTCAAAATCTTTTTTTTTTTTTTTTAATACTTTTAAATGCATTTATGTGCTCTGCGCATTTTATCTTCTTGAAGAAATCTGTCTTCTCACCCCATGAAATCTGGACTGGTTGCTCTCTAGGCCCGATTTACAGTCTTATCTTGGTATTTCTTAGTCATTCCCTTTGTCTCACTTTTTTGTTAGATTTCCTGACTCGTTTTTTGTTTTACTTCCTCATTTTGGTGGAGCTTATCCTGTGGTAGCTTCCTTATGCATAGTAGGTAAGTTTTTTGAGACCTTGCAGGTCTAGAAGGGTCTTTATTTTATGCTCACACATGTGAAATCTTGTTTTAAAAAAAATTCTGGCTTAGAAATCATTTCATTTAGATATTTCTTGAAAGCATTACTATACCATATTTTAGCTTTCATTGTTGTGCATATAGGAAGTCCTAAGTCATTCTAATCTTGGCCCTTTGGGTATGGGTCCTCTTTTTTTCTCCCTAGAAATGTATCATTTTCCCCTTTGTTTACAGTGTTCTGAAAATCTTGATGATATACCTTGCTGTGTACACTTATTATTTATTAATAAATGATGTTCCCATGTAATCTAGAGATTCCCATCCTTGCATTGTGAGAAATCTTAGTTTGTCTCATTTGGTGATTTCCTTTTCTGTCTTCCTTTTGCCTGAAATTGCTGTCATTTGGATGTTGGTTCTTCCTGAATTGATTTTCTAATTTTCTTTTATTCTCCCTTCTATTTTTCATTTCTTTGTATTCTTTTCTCCACCCTCTACATTCTGACAGGTTTCCTCAGCCTTACATTCCAACTACCCTGTTGAATATTTTATTTATCAGGCTTTAACATTTTTAAGGCCTTTGTGTTTTGTTTTGTTTTGTTTTGTATTTAATTTTGATAAAGCGCAATTTACCAGTTTTTCTTTTTGTGGAACATGTTTTTGGTGTCATTTCTAAGAACTCTGTCTACCCCTTGGTTCTGAAGAGTTTGTCCTATTTTTTTCCCTGAAAGTTTTATAGTTTTACATTTTACATTTAAGTCTGTGATTCATTTTGAGTCCATTTTTATGGAAGGTGAGAGACTTAGGTTGAGGTTTATTTTTTTTGCCTAACAGTCTCCATTTCCTCTAGCACACTTTTTGGAAAAGGCTGTCTTTGCTCCATTGAATATGTTTGTCAGAAATTGGTTGAGCATATTTGTGAGAGTCCATCTCCAGACCCTTCTTTATGATGTACAATTAATCTATATGTCTATCCCTCCTTTTTTTTTTTCTAAAATTGTTTTACTTATTCTGGTTATTTTGCCTTTTCATATAAATTTTAAAATAATCTCCATTTACAAAATATCTTGCAAGTATTTTGATAGGAATTCCATTAAACCTTTATATGAATTTGGGGAGAATTGACATCTTTTCTGTGTAGTTTTCCAATAAATGAACATGGTGCATCTCTCCACTTATTTTTATCTTTGATATTTTTTTCATCAGCATTAAGTAGTATTTGTACATGTTCTTAAATTTATACACAGGTTTTTGCTTTGTTTTGAGCGGTTATAAATGGTATTCGATTTTTCTTTTTGGTGTCCATGTGTCTATTACTAATATGTAGAAAACCAGCTGATTTTTCTGTGTTTGTGTTATATACTTAAACCTTGCTGAACTTGTTTACTACTTCTTGAATTTTTTTCTAGATTTCTTAGGATTTTCTGTATAGACTGTTGTGTCATCTGCAAAGAGAGGCAGTTTTATTTCTTCCTTTCTGATCTGTATCCTTTTAATTGCCTTTTCTAGCCTTAATTGCATTGGCTAGAATTTGCAGTACTATGGTGAGTAATAATGGTGAGTGGATATCCTTGCCTTCTTCTGAATCTTAGGTGGGAAGAAGACTTTCACCATTAAGTGTATGGTTAGCTATAGTTTAAAATTTTTTTCTTTATTATTATTTTTTTAACGTTTATTTATTTTGAGACAGCGTGAGTGGGGGAGAGCCATAGAGAGAGGGAAAATCCCAAGCAGGCTCCATGCTGCCAGCAGAGAGCCTGATGGGGGACTTGAACTCACAAAACTGTGAGATCACGACCTGAGCTGAAACCAAGAGTCAGACGCTTAACCAACTGAGCCACCCAGCCGTGTCTAAAATTTTTTCGTTAATGTTTATTTGGTTTGAGAGAGAGAACATGCATGCCTGGGGGAGGAGCAAAGAGAAAGGGAAGGAGAAAGCATCCCATGGAGGCTCTGAGCTGTCAGCACAGAGCCCAATGCAGGGATCAAACCCATGAATGATGAGATCATGACCTAAGCCGAAATCAAGAATCGTAGACTGAGCCAGATGAGC